GGCTTGCTCCCAAATGAAAGTCACCTGCTCGTCGCAGTGGCAAAGATGCCGCCACAAAGAAGCCTGAGTGAGCATTTGAAGATGAAGCAGATTAGGGGGAGGAAAAAAAAATCAACAATGGAGTCTAATTACGGCATCATTGCAGAAGGCGTTTTGCTTTTAATCAACATCAACGCTTGATTGGTTCGGAACATTTGATGTGGCATTCATTTCCGCCACTGATGAACGTTTGTCCCTCAGATGACGGGGGTTTATTAGCGTCCTGCTGCTAAACAGCCCCCGATTACGCTCTGTCAGTCATCTGTAATCCTGTTTCTTTTCCATTTAGAGGCCCGTGAAATGTCTTTTTGGAAGCGTCGCTCGACACCCGAAGCACAAATAGTGGGCGGCGGATCTGTTTTTCATTGGGTCCTTCCATTATAACCGTATATTGAAAAAAGAAAGCAACATTGTGGAAAATCTCCATCTCAAAATGAGGAGTAGCAGCTTGCTGGCAAAATAAAATGAGAACACTCACAAGGAGCTGCTGTAGGCCACCACTCACATCCCGATGCTCACACGCGGACTAGCAAGCCAAAATGACTTTGGCGGCTGATGTCACATACGAGGACACGCCCCTAAAAGGCACGCAGCTCACACACAACGCTACATAACACACTTTTATAAGTTTGTTTTTTTGGGGTGCTGCATTCATTTCAGGTAACGCTTCAATGGTGAAAATCGGTTTGATGTACAGTCTTGAAGAAACTGTTCCGCTACGTAGGTTGTCATTTTTTTTATTTCACTTGATATGAATATTCAGCTGTAACATACTCGTCCCAGCTCTCGTAGAACGTAACGGTCCTCGTTAGCCTCGTCGTCCGATCTGCCACTCAGAGAAACACGCTCCGTTCACGCTTGAGAGGGCGACCAAGCGACGTGCCCCCCCCCCCCAACCCTTCTCCCGCCCCGCGCTTACGATAAAAGCTGCGGGACGAGCAATTACCGAGAGGAGTTATCACACATTTAACCTGAACGACTGCGGGCGGTGCTGATCCACTCCTCGCTTTCATTCATGGATGAACACGTAAATGGCGAGGGAAGGACCGGAAAGGCTCGGGAGCAGTTTCAAAGTGGCTGCAGAGAGAGTAACCGCCACCTTAATGCCTTAGTGTTGAAACACATTGTCTGTGTCTGGAGGGGAATGGCTCTTTGCGCGAAACAAAAAACACTTAGCATCTGTCTCGTGCTCTACTCCACTAATACAGTCATTATTCAATTAGCTAATGATCGGTGGGAAGTAGCAAACCAAATGCAGCCACTTTTAGCTCCTGTAAACAAGCCTTTCTCAAACCTTATTGAGCCTATTGGAGCATGTTTGAACAAATTATTTCAAAAAGAATCGCAAAAAAACGTATTTTGTTTATATCCTGGAGCTAGTTATTCTTTTTTTTCTGTTTTCAAGGAACCAATCCAAAATATGCATGTGAGGTTCGGCTATTTTTGTCCACTTGTGGTCCTCGCGGTCCTCATCTATCTGTGACTTGAATCCTTTGAGGGCCAGCGGTCACTACAGTGGACACCTTATCATGTTATCTGGTTACAGGGGGCGTGAAAGGGTGAAGTCTGGGTTGCTTTTAAAGGCGGGGCCTCGCTTGAGTGACATGGGAGTCCATGAAGGGGAGAGCAGTTGGCTGGTTGTTAACTTGCTAACCCGTTAGCCTTAAAAAATTAATGAATAAAACGCTTTCCATGAAAAACAGAGGTCATGGACAAAAGGACAAACGGAGTACCTTTTAATAATATTAAAATTTTGAGTGAGTTGCCCCCCTCCATCATTTAATGTCGCCCATCTTTGCGTTGGGCCATTTTGGAAATGCTCAGATGAAAGAAAAAACACTGGGGTCGGGGGGGGGTATAAATATGTAAATATGTCATCATTAATCATTCATTGAAATCCCAAAGCCCCCCCCCCCCGCCCCCTGGAGAGCACTTGCGCACCCGCACTTAGGGAATCCCAGACGAAATCTACGGTAAACGAGCTAGCGGCAAGCTAATGCGCAACCCAAACAAACAAGGAGACCTTCCACTTGGCTTTTGAAGGAGGTGACGGGGGAGGAGGGGGCGCAGGTGGGGGTGGGGAACTCCCTCAGCATCCCCTCAGCACGCTCTTGACGTGCTGGAGGTTAAACGAGCAAATGCCACCAGCCTCTAAATGTCAATTATGCGTGATTCATCTCCCTGCTGCTCGAGGGGGTGGGAACAGCGGGTGCTCGTTTAGCCTGGCACCCGACTCGCATTCCTTTGACTCCCCTGAGAGCAGCCTTAATGTATACTCATCTCGATGTGTTGCTAGGAAATAAGAGGAATGCTTTGAAAGACAAGTGTGATGGATGATAACGTTATTCAACGCGTTCTTCATCGGCTGCTCTTATGTGCGACAACAGGTGGGCTATGTCACAATTGTTCACGATGAACAGCGCTACAAATAATTTAAACGATAGTAGTTCCGGGCGCGATGTCATCATGACAGCGCAAAAGTGAAATAAATGACAGCAGATCTGTAAAGTGCTTGCCAAGAGCTTTTGTTTGACATATGACTTGATGTCGTTTGTTGCGGTCCTCGTTATGGCTTGATGCATTTTAAATTTTTGGAGGCTGATGCCGATTCAGATTTTGTGGTAACCAATTGAAAAAAAATGAAGGATTATTATTATTTTTTTTTTTATATGCATAATGACTGAAAAAAAAACTTGTTTTGGTCCATTTGGTCCCCTTCCAACAATAAAATTATGAATTACAGGCATAAGATTTGATTGTTTTACGACGGAGAGAAAAACTGCCAAAAAATGTGACATCATTTTGAAAGGGATGGGAAAAAAATGTCAGTAAGTTGTGATCTTGTCACTGGTGAACTATAACCTCCGGCAAGCTCCTAAAGTTCAAAGTCGACGGGCACCAAACACAAACCACTTGGTCAACTGTCGAGCTTTGATGTGCCCACCAAATTTCGAAAACAATCGGATGAAAATTGCACTGAAAATTTTTGACCTTGCAGTGACCCCGACATTCAACTTCAGCCTCGATGCTGCAAAATGTAGGACAAAGCTCTGAACCCAAAGATGGCGCTTGACTTCACGCGGCAATAATAGCCCGCATTCCGATTTATTTACGTGCGTGTGTGCGTACGTGCGAGGCGACGCGCCTAACTGAGGGAAATTAATCCATCTAAAGCCGAAAAAGAATGCAGGCAGGCACGACACCCCGCCTGCACCCCCCAAAAAAAACAACAACACAAAAGTATGAAAGTGGAAGACTGAAATAATCCGAATCTGCTGTCGGCTCACGGCGGAGCTTTTGTTTATTTTCACTCGTCAGACAGCCACTTTTCATGTCCCCTCCCCGAGTGTGCACGCGTGCATTTGCGTCGAACAGTGTTAGTGGATCACTGCTTTGACAAGGCGGTTGTCTCCCTCGGGCATGGGGAGCGCGCTTCAATGACGATCTAATATGCATCATATTGTCATGAAGCGCGTGCGCACAAACACACACACACATACACATACACACATGCTTTCATGGATCTAATGAAAGCCCATCTTCAATTCGGTCAGTCGATAGGCTTTATTTCTCTCTCTCGCTTTGCAGAACATGTAACGTAAAACATTTTTGGAACCATACACACACACACACACACACACACACACACACACACACACACACTGAG